GGACCACAGTCCACGCATGCCAATCTGCATTCCGAACGGCCTTCGAGGAAAATGGTTGTGTAGGGGGGCGGAGGCCGTATGAATCGGGTTCCCAGAATGCCTTCTGGGAGCATGGGTTTGGGGAGCGTCTTGGGGCGCCTGTTGGGGCGTGCCGTCGTCGTCGTCGTCGTCGTCGTCGTCATCGTAATGTTGTCGTCGCCTTTTGGGCCGCGCCGTCGTCGTCGTCGTCGTCGTCGTCGTCGTCGTCGTCGTCGTCGTCGTCGTCGTCGTCGTCGTCGTATTCGTCGTCGTCGTCGGTTCAAAAAAGGCACTTGGGGCAACTTTGTGCGAAACGATCTGCGGAGGGCCGCGAGAAGGTGATCAATGATGTTCCCAATCAACTTCCCAGACAACTCTCCTGTAGCATGATGGTACTTCGAAGCCTCCGGAAACTCGCGGGCCCATGATGAACCATGACCCCGGAAGGTTTTCTGGGGACATGATTTCTGGGGGTGTGTTGGGGGGCCTCTTGGGCGTTCCCTGGGAGCCCCTTGGGGGTCTCTTGGGGCTTCCTGGGGGCCTCTTGGGCGCCTCACGGGGCTTCGTGGGAGCCTCTTGGTGGCCTCCGGGGGCCTACAGGCTGCCTAGGGCCAGAGACCTCGAAATATAGATTTTCGGCCCTTTTCTGGGCCCTCTCTTGGGGAGCTCTTGGGGCACAAATGGATTGTCTGGGGAGCCTCCTGGGCCGTCTTGGGGCCCTCGTCGGGGCCTCGTGGCCCGTCTTGGAGCGACCTGAAGGGCCTCCGAGCGAGGCCGTGAGGGAGCGCTGGGACGCGGGGAAAGCGAGAACGCCTAAATCATTCGAAAACCATAGGACAATTAGTGAATCTTGCCTCCCAAGGCCCTCTTGGGGAGCCTCTTGAGTCCGTCCTGGTGCGTATTGGAGTTAGCGTCGGCTGTCTAGGGCAACTTGGGCGTGTTCGGGGCCTCTTGGAATTGTCTAGGGCCCTCTCGGAACCTCCATTAGCGTGTCGTGGCCTGCTTCGGGGCGGGCCTGGGCCGCCTCGGGACCCCTCTGAGCCCTCTCTTGGGGAGCTCTTGGGGCACAAATGGATTGTCTTGGAAGCCTTTTGGGCCGTCTTGGGGCCCTCGTCGGGGCATCGTGGGCCTTCTTGGAGCGATCTGAAGGGCCTCCGAGGCCGTGAGGGAGCGCTGGAAAGCGGGAAAAGCCAGAACGCCAAAATCCAAAACATTCGGAAAATTAATGAATCTTGCCTTCCAAGGCCTTCTTGGGGAGCCTCTTGAGTCCGTCGTGGAGCGTATTGGAGTCCTCGTCGGCTGTCTTGAAGGCATTTTGGGCGTCTTCGGGGCCTCGTGGGACGGTCTTGGGCCCTCTCGGGACCCGGGGCGGGCTCGGGCCGCCTCGGGAGCTCTGGACCCCCCCCGCAACCCCTGGTGGGTTCCGATGGGGGGAACAGGCAACGGCCCGCCCCCCCCCCCCCCGAGCCTACTCCGAGATAGAGAATCATGTTCCCGGGAAGCTCTCCGGGAACATAATATTTGTTCGGCTCTCTGAAGAGGGGGCCTCTGGTGGCTTACCGAGGGGCGCGCCTTTTGGTTTTGTCGGCAAGCCTATTGGAAACATGGTTGGGGCGGTGGGCGGAAGAATCATGTTCCTGGAAAACTATATGGGAAATGCGATTTGCCGAAAAGTCTTGGGGGCCCGCAAGGGGCTTCCCTGGGGGCCCCTTTGGGGCCTATTGGGGCTTCCGGGGGGCCTCTTGGGAGCCTCACGGGGCTTCCTGGGAACCTCTTGATGGCCTCCGGGGACGTCCTAGGGGCCTCTCAGGCCGGAGACCTTGAAATGTCGCGCGCCTCGGGCCCTCTTGGGTCGCTCTTGGGGCTCTCTTGGGGCGCTCTCGAGGCCCTCTTGATTTATCAGGGGAGCCTCCTGGGCCGTCTCTGGGCTTTCTTGGGGGCCTCTTCGGCCGTCTTGGAGCGATGGAACATGGAGAGCGCAAAAATGCTTCAAACACAATTGGAACATTTATAATTTTCGGCTTTGGGGCGTTTTGGCGGCGTCGTCGGCCGTCCTGAGGCCATCTTCGGCGTGTCCGGGGTCCGGGGCCTCTGGGGACTGTCTTTGGGCGTCCTGGGAACCCAGAAATCATGTTCCCGGAGAGGCTTCCGGGAACATGGTTTCGAACGAAGCCCTCTTGGGCCTCCCCGAGGCCGTCCTGGGGGCCTCCTGGGCCGGCTTTGGGGCCTCTTGGGCCATCTTGGGGTGTTCCGTTAGCCCCACAGGACGACCCTTTCGGGCCGTCGTGGGCCCTCTTGGGTCTCTCTTGGGCTGTGTTGGGCCTCTGCGGGGGCGAATGGGGCACTGCGAAGACGAAACAAGGGAGTAGGCTGAAAATGTACGTTTTACAAAAGAAATGGGCAGACTTATGCCTCTTGAAGGGCCTCTTGGGGCCCTCTTCGGCCATCTTCAAGCCATCTTGGGCCCTCTTTGGGCCTCGCTGGCTGAGGCTGTCTTGTGGGCCTCTTGGGCGTCCTCGGAAGGTGGAAAACATGTTCCCGGAGAGGCTTCCGGGAACATGATTTCGAACGAGGCCCTCTTGGGCCTCCCTGAGACCGTCTTGGGGGCCTCCTGGGCCGGCTTCGGGGGCCTCTTGGGCCGTCTTGAGGGGCTCCGTCTCGAAATTTACATTTGTTCGCTTCTCTTTTTTCCAGCGCGCTGCTCGGGGAAACGAAACCTGGCAAGGGGCGCTTTGGCAGGCGGTCGCCGCCCACTTAAAAGAATTCTGGGGGCTGCGGGCTGGCGATGGGAGCAAGGCAGACGAAAGAGCGGAATTGAACGGAACTGTGCAAAGCAAACTCGTTACACAACGTATCTCTCTCTCTCTTTTTTCCAGTGCACTGCTTGAGGAAACGAAGCCTGACAAAGGACGCTTTGGCAGGCAGCCGCCGCCCGACCTCAAGTGCACGCAATTCCCACCTTCAAGCATTGTGCTGGGTCACCCGTGCAAAAGCATCCACTTGCGAGAAACAATCTTGGCCAGAATCGTCTGAAAGAACATCTGAGCGAGGCGGCGACGCATGGCATCAGGATAGGAAGCCTTTTGACGCGTGCGACAGGCAACGGCTCCCTGATCTTTGCCGGACAACTCAAGATGAGGTTGCCCAGAACAGTCACAAACCCCGCCCCCATGGCATTTCATTGACAGGAGCGAGGGAGAGGGGCGACAGTGCAACGAGTAAAACTGCGTGCGCGCGCGGTAGGGACGACCCGCAGCGCGCCGATCGACTATGGCTTCAAAGGAGAAAAGAGGAGGAGAGAGGCCTACGCAATCTGTCAGGGAGCTGCCACAGCCAACTACTACACGGATTCTCTTCACCCACTGGGAGACCAAATTTACTAGCTAGAGTCCAAAACTTCGCAGCGCGCGCGGCAAGAATATTACCGAGCTCGACCTTGGCCTGATCTGAAACGCTCAGATTGGGCAAGCCAAAAACGTGAGAACGATCCCGCAAAACGGCGGGGCATGCGAAAACTGGGGCTGCCTCTGCGAGCTTGCGATAATGTTTCGCAAGGCGTGCCCATGAACAAAGCTTTGAACCTGCCACTTTCAATCAAAACTCTATGAGCACATCGAATAGGGCAGGCTGGACCAAGTCAAACTCTCGGCCACGCAACAAGTCCCACTCGATGACAGCGTGCCCGGCTTGACGCAAGTCTTGCCAAATTGCCGGGCCCCACCAAATAATTATATGAACGCACGTGAGTCGCGACCAGTGCTACTATATGCCGCTGTCTCGTGAACTGAATGCAGGCGGCGTCGAGCCCAGCTGCTAAACTCTTGATGGCCTGGCGTTGGGCAGCCGGGGTCCTCATTCTCTTGATCGCCACTCCCCCGAGCTTGTAGTAGCGCAGTGCGCCGTTGCAGGCGCGGCTGCCCATCGGGCGGTCGTGGCTGGCGCCGCTGTGCTGGAGGCTGTGTAGCATGCCTGCTGAACAGCTGGCTCCGACAGCCTCGGGCGCCTGGCCAAAGCGCTGCAGCGGGTGGCTGCAATCGAAGTCCCACCGCATGCGCCGGGAACTTGGGCGCAGGCTACGAGGGCGCGCCAAGGCCCAGGCCAGGGCCTGCTGTCGAGGGCGGTCGAGCACCACCGTGTGGTCCATATCGCCTGTCTGGGCCGGCTGCCGCAACTCTGCCACGTGCACCACCGCCGACGCGTGCGAGCCCGCACTGCCGCGCGCCCCGCAGGACCCCGCGAGCGGGGCAGCCCGCGGCGCCAGCGCCACGAGAGGCCAGAGGCACCCCTCGAACGCCAGCATGACAAAGAGGGCGATCCCGAGCACCGCGTCCCACATCGCGACGGGCCAGACGAGCAGCGCCTCTAGCATGGGCCAGCCTGCTAGCAGCCGCACCACCTTCAGGTGGAGCACCTGAGTGGACGGCCGCGCACTGTTGGTAGCCGGACAGCCCTGGCGGTGCAGCAAGCGGACCCGCTCCTGGTCGGAAGGCGGCGGCGGCGGCGCTCTGTTCACGACGGATCCGCCACCGCCAGCGGCAGGCCTCAGGGTCGGCAGCGCGCCTCCTAGCTCCACCAGGGCCCGGAGCCCGAGCAGCGGAGCGGCCTGCAGCATGCGGGTCTCCAGCGTCGCGACTGCCGCGGTAACGCCTGAGCTCCTCCGACTGCTTGGGCCAAGAAGGCTCCGGACCAAACTGAAACCGTCTTGAGGGGCCATCAGCCGGGTTGAGCTCCGAGGGGGCCCACCTGAATGTGACCTTCAGGTTGCAAGCCGCCGAGATGACACACGAACATCGACATGCTGACATGAGCCCGAAGTCTGAGGCGCGACCTATTTCCTGAGCGCATATCAGTGACATGTTGTCTCCAAGGCCGAGCAACCGATGCCCGTGACATCGAGAAATGCGAGAGGCGCGCCGCAGCCAGAGCATCCCTGCCGAACTCTCCAGCTGGTGGATTGCACTTTGGCGCCTCCACCTGCGCGCCACAGCCGTGGCCCAGGTGGCGTCGCGCAGCAGCTCGGCGCTCACCTCGTCAGCAAGGGCTGCATCCCGCGGGGCCACCAGAGTCGCCATGGGCCCGCGGAAGCGCAGCTTCTCAGGCTGCCTGCCCGTGGCCTGCAACGCGCTTAAAGGCCAGCGCGAAGTGCAGGCGCCCGCGCCCCACGGGGAGGCGTCGACGGCCCCCGCTTCCGTGTGCCAAGGCCCCTTCAGGTCAGCAAGCACTGTGGGCAGCAAGGCCAGCGCCCGCCTGAGCTCCTGCTTGCCGCTGGGCCACAGCGGCTGCGCCTTCTCGTGGGACTCGCGGATGAACGGGTAGACGGCGCTGAGGAGGCTAAGAGCCTCTCTCCGAAGCAGCAGCAGCGCGACGATGTGCCCCGCCAGCCTCTCCATCTGGCGCCCCGTGATGTGTCGCCCTGGCTCCAGTAAGAGCTGAATGCAGCCATGCGCCCTCCAGAACTTTTTGGGCGCAGGGCGCCGCCTAGCAGTCTTCGAGTCAAGCGTGAACCCGAGAAGTACGACGTCCAAGTCCAAAGACGCCTTCGCGCCCTCACTGGTCAGCGCTTCGAGCATCTCGGCAACCGCTCGCATCGCTGTCTCGCGACCGGTGCTGGGGGCCGCAAAATTGTCTATGTGCAGGACCTTAGCCGCATCCGAATCCCCCGCGAGGCAAGTGCCGGGCTGCTTGTCCACCGGCCAGGCGTTGTCAGGCGAGACCGAGGCAAAGGCGGTCAGGCGCGCTGTCTGGACGAAATGCAAGGCCCATTTCCAACCCGTGGGAACCGCGCGTGCCCGGAAATCGACCCTGGCTCGCCCAGCGGCCACAGGTCCCAGGGCGGCCCGCAGCCGAGCGGGAAACAAGTGGGTCGCCACGCTCAGCAGGCAGAAATAATTCCTGGCCCAGCCCGGCAGCAAGTTCTGGTAGAAGTAGACCTCCACGTCGCCCGCAGCCAAGTGCACCTCCTCGCCAGGCGCGCGCTCCAAGCTGCTCAGGGCGTCGCCAGATGCCAAGTGCGTGTATTCGGGCGCCCTGAAGTGACAGTTCGCCCTCCTGGTATCAAAAATGAGCCTCAACTTGTCATCTTTGCGTGGCACGTAGAAGATGCCCGTCTCCTCCCTTCGATCTGTTTCGCGTTCCAAAACTTCGACGATCCCCGCCTCGAAAAGCTCCAGCAGGAATCGCCCGTAGTCGCGGCCCCTCTGGGCCAGCCTGCTGTCGACGTAATGCGTGACATCGGCCTCCTCCAAGGCGGCGGCAGCATCCTGCTCTGAACGCAGCAACCCTTGCCCTGACTCCAGCGCGGACCGCCGGTGCTCGGGCAGAAGCCGCGCAATGTCGACCTGCCCCGCGCCGCCGGTGGGAAGAGATACCTTCCCGCGCTGGCGGCGGCCCTCGCCCCGATGGCTGGCTCATCAGAAGCCCCGGAAGCCCCAGAAGCGCATGAAACGCCTCCTGGTTGGTGCAATTATCAGTCTTGGGCGGCACTGCAGCGTAAACCTCGGCCCGGTGATGCACCGCCGAAGGCCGCGCCGGGCTCGGCCGCCCGCTGCGCCCAGCCGCCCGCCCACCACCGCCCAGCTCGTTGCGCGCCGAGACGCCCGCCAGCATCCAGCGCTCCCGGCGCCTGCAGCGCGCGGCTTTGCGCCGCTGGCCCAGCGAGAGCTCGCCGTCGAGGGCCGAGAATTCCCTTAAACGCTGGAGCGCCGCCGAGCCGAGCGGCGCGGGTAACGCGTCTCTCTGAACGAGACCGACATCGCCAGAACCCAGCGAGGCGGCGTCACCATCAGGCACACCTCGCCTCCCCTGCAAACTCTCGCCAGGGCCGGGGGCCACCCTGGCGCGAGATGGCGGCTCAGGCCCCGCGCGCGCGGCCGCGGCCGCGCGCTCTGGCCCGGGCAGCCGCCGCCTGGTCGCCGGAGGCAGCGCTGGGGTCAGCGACTCTCCCCAGATCCAGCAGCCTTTCTCCGCGTTCCTTCCTGCGCTCCTTGCAGATGGCGCACTCCTCCTTGAGCTGCTCGGCCACCCAGCTCTCAGGGGCAGGGCAAACCAGCGCCCGCCCCCGACTCCTGTCCTGGCAGAGGAAGATCGCCCTCTCGTCGAGCCACGGGGCAGCGTCCTGGCCAGCCTCGGCCTCGCGGAGGCAAGAAGCGTACATCTCCATCCAGAGCTGACCCCGCCGGGGCAGGATCTCCGCCGCCACGCGCTCGCCTGCATGGAGATGGTCGTAGGTCGTGAGCTCCGTGAGGACCTCCGAGATGGCAAGTTGGTGGTCCACTCCATCGTCCGAAGCCGTGAGCCCATGGCCCGACCTCCACCTGGAGCGCCTCTGCCGCGGCGTGTGCCCTGGCTCCGAGACCTTTTCCAGCGGCCAGGCCGCCGACTTAAACCCCTCGGACTTCCACTCCGGGAAGACTGCCGTGGACCCCTTGGCCACTGCGTCGCGGAAGCATTTGGTGCGCGAGCCTCCCGCTGAGTGCGCGACTGGGGGCGTCTGGAGGCCCCCGCTGCTGCTGGCATGCGCCGGCGGCTCCGCTTCGGGCGCGTGGGCAACTGCCGCGGCGAGCGAAGCCCCCTTCCCGAGCACGATCGCGCTGCGATCCCACAGCGTGGCCAGCGGCCGACCCTTTGCCGTGAGCAGCGCGGGCAGGATGGGCGCCCCGCGCGCCGGGCCGCCACGCGTCTCCGCCGCCGCCCAAGTCGCGTCTGGCGGGGGGGGCAGCTCACGGCGCGAGGACTGCCGCGCGCAAGGGCCCGCCAGCTCCGCCATGCCAAGCGGCCCCAGCGGGCGTCAGGCACGTCGCCGCCAGCGATCGTGCTGCCAATGTGGAGGAGCCCGCGGAGGCTGCCGCCGCCACTGCGCCGCCCGTGCCGCCAGGCGCCATCGCCCCCGCCGGGGCAGCCGTGTCGGCCGAGGGCCTTGGCTCCACCGGTGGGTTTGGGAGGCCCTGCTCAGCGCGGATCTCCGCCACCATCTGCGTGGCCTCGTCGCACCGCTGCTGCAACTCTCCCGAGAGACAAGCGTTGCTCGCCCGCAGCACCTGGCCTCCCGGCGCGGGGACTGGCATCCCGCCGCGAGGACCCAGCGGCAGCAATCGCAGTGCCGGCGCCCTGTCGCCATCGTGCATGTCCCAGTGCGCGGTGAACCCCGCGAATCTGTGATCACTGATGTGGTCCAGCATGATCCGCTCATGCCGATCGCCATCGTGCTGCTCGTAGTAGGCGCGGACCCTCGACACCACTTGGCGACTCTGCAGCCAACGCAGCGTACGTCTCGCCGGGCCGAGCGCTGCCATCGATCTTGAGGGCCGACGAGCGAGCAGCGCGCCGTGCCGCCAACGCTGCGAGCACCGTGCAGCTCACGCCGAACACGACGCCTCCAAAGAACGCGCTCGGCGCGAAGCCGATCTCTGGGCACAGCGATTGCGGGCAGGCGGGACACGCTTGACACGTCAGCCGCTCTGGTCCGCATCGCTCCATTTGTCGTCCAACCAGTTCCATGATGTCGCTGCTGACCTGGCAGTCGGCAACACAATGGCAGCCTGGGCAGCAAACGACAGAAAGAAGTGGGGCCCAAGGAGCAACGGCCTGCAGCCCCCGCAGGGCCAAATCCATTGAGCCAGAAAGATTAAAGAGCGGAATGAAACGGAACTGTGCAAATTGGCGGGATGCATACGGGGGGATAAGTCCAGATGGGGAGAGAGGCGCAACCGAGGTACAAATTGTACCTACGCCCCACGGAGAAGGTACAATTTGTACCGACGCCACGCAGACAAGGTACACATTGTACATTTGACCACGTCCGCGACATGTGCGAGGATGTTAACGGGGGGGGAAAAGGTACAATTTATACTTGCAACCCGCAGAGAAGGTACAACTTGTACCCCAACAAGACGGTACCGGATACTCATCCCCCCATGTCCTGATCCCCCCATCGCCATCCGGCCGAGCAAAGCAAACTCGTTGCACAACGTATCTTTTCTCCTCTGGGGCCCCTCTTGGACTCTTCCTGGGGCTCTCTGTGGCCGTCTAAGGCGTCTCTTGGGCTGTCTTGGGCCTTGTTTGGGCCGTCTTCGAGCTCTCTTTGGGGCCTCCTGGGCCGTCCCGGATGGTAAGGGATGGGGGGGAGGGTAGGACGTTAGATATGACGCGAGCGCACCTCATTAGCTTGTCCTCCTCCCGATCCCCCTCCTCCCAATCCTCCTCCTCCCGCTCCTCCTCCCATGCGCCTGGCCCGGCATGGTATCGAAACTGCCTTCGCCGACTTTCCGCCGCCCGTGCCTCTTGGGGCCTCTTTGGGGCCACCTCTTCGGGGCCTCTTAAGCGCCCCTCGGAAGCCTCTTAGGGGCCTTTTGGGGCCCTCTTGGGGGCCTTTTGGAAGCCTCTTGGGGGATCCAGGGGCCTGTTTGGGGCGGAAGGCTCGAATTCTGGGTTCGGGCTGCCCCTCTTGGTGCTGTCTTGGGGCCCTCTTGGGCCATGTTGGGAGCCTCTTGGCCGTCTTGGCGCCCTCTTGGGCCGTCTTGGGCGCCTCTTGGGAAACTCTTGGGCCGTCTTGGGGCGATCGTAGGGGTCTCTTCGACCGTCTTCAACGCCGTGAAGGCCGAAAACGTGCATCTGCGAAATTATCCCCGTGCGACCCTACCTGGGAGTTGGAGCCTCTAGGGAAGCAACATTAGAAGGAACGGTAAACGCCGTCCTCCTCCTCCTCCTCCTCCTCCTCCTCATCGTCGTAGTTGTAGCAGTAGCGGTAGTAGTAGTAGTAGTAGTAGTAGTAGTAGTAGTAGTAGTAGTAGTAGTAGTAGTAGTAGTAGTAGTAGTAGTAGTAGTCGTAGTAGTAGTAGTAGTAGTAGTAGTAGTAGTAGTAGTAGTAGTAGTAGTAGTAGTAGTAGTAGTAGTAGTAGTAGTAGTAGTCGTAGTAGTAGTAGTAGTAGTAGTAGTAGTAGTAGTAGTAGTAGTAGTAGTAGTAGTAGTAGTAGTAGTAGTAGTAGTAGTAGTAGTAGTAGTAGTAGTAGTAGTAGTAGTAGTAGTCAGTAGTAGTAGTAGTAGTAGTAGTAGTAGTAGTAGTAGTAGTAGTAGTAGTAGTAGTAGTAGTAGTAGTAGTAGTAGTAGTAGTCGTAGTAGTAGAGTAGTAGTAGTAGTAGTAGTCGTAGTAGTAGTAGTCGTAGTAGTAGTCGTAGTAGTATTAGTAGTGGTGGTGGTGGTGGTTGAGTAGTAGTAGTCGTCGTAGTAGTAGTATTAGTAGTAGTAGTAGTAGTAGTAGTAGTCGTAGTAGTCGTAGTAGTAGTCGTAGTAGATAGTAGTGTATAGTAGTATAGTAGTGGTAGAGTAGTAATAGTAGTAGTCGTAGTAGTAGTAGTAGTAGTAGTAGTAGTAGTAGTCGTAGTAGTAGTAGTAGTAGTAGTAGTAGTAGTAGTCGTGTAGTAGTAGTAGTAGTAGTAGTAGTAGTAGTAGTAGTAGTAGTAGTAGTAGTAGTAGTAGTAGTAGTAGTAGTAGTAGTAGTAGTGGTAGTAGTAGTAGTAGTAGTAGTAGTAGTAGTCGTCGTAGTAGCAGTCGTAGTAGTAGTAGTCGTAGTAGTAGTAGTAGTAGTAGTAGTAGTAGTAGTAGTAGGAACAGCAGTAGTAGTAGTAGTAGTAGTAGTAGTAGTAGTAGTAGTAGTAGTAGTAGTAGCGCCGACGCCACGCCGTAAGTGAAGCAGCAGCAGAAGCCGTATACCAGCAGCAATAGTGGACGCTGTGCTGCGCTATGCTATGCTATGCTATGCTCTGCTCTGCTATGCTATTCTGTGCTGCGCAATGCTATGCTGGGCTAGGCTAGGCTAGGCTATGCTGCGCTATGCTATGCTGCGCTATTCTATCCAGTGCTCTGCTCTGCTATGCTATGCTTTTGCTTTGCCTTCGCTTTTGCCTTCATTTTTCCCTTTGCTTTTGCTTTTGCTTGGCACCCAGGGAGCGCAACTGCGGGAACCGCGCGTTTGCTTTTACCTTTGCTGTTGCTTTTGCTTGGCTCCCAGGGGACTGGGGGAACCGCCCGGGGCGGGTTCCACTGCCCGGCCCCTTTAAGCCAAGAGAGTAAGAACCCTTCTAGGCAGAGCCTATGTAGGGAAAATATGCGTTTCCGATGGGAAATCCATGATTTTTGCCTCTTGGCGCCTTTTTGGGGTGCCTCCCGAAGGCCTCGTGGGCCGTCTTTGGAGGCCTCTGGAGCCGTCGTGGAGCGTCTTGGGGGGGGCTTCTTGGGCCGTCTTGGCGCCATCTTGGGCTGCCAGGTAACCCAATAGAAGCGCCGGGGAAGCCTCGGGGAGGGTCCGGGGACACCCCAGGGAGGCCCCGGGCTTCCAGGAAAGCCGCCGGGGGGGGGGGGGGGCACCGAAATACAAGGGAGGCCCCAGCCAAGGGCCCGGGGCCCGGGATCTTCCATATATATGCGTGCGCATATAAATTCTTGCATTTCTGGATCTTCTTGGGGGTCCTTTGGGGTCTGTTGTGGGCAATCTTAGGGCCCTGTTGGGCCGTCCCGAAGCTTTCCGGGCCGTCTTGGCTGGCTTGGGCCGTCTTGGGGCATTCTGGTGGCCCTCTTGGGTTCCTTTGGGGACCTCACCTTCTTGGGGGTCTCTTGGGAACCTTTTGGGACCCTCGAGGGCCTCCCTTGGGTCGTCTTCGGGCTCTCCTGAGCCGTCTTGGCGCCACTTAGGCTGTTGTTGTCTTAGGAGCCTCTGGGGCCGTCTTGGGGCGGTCTCGGGGGCCTCCTGAATCGTTTCGGACGCTCTGGAAAAAGAAGAAGCGAATACTGCCAAACCTGTGTGATTTCTCAAGGGCATGGAGCGATCTGTGCCTCTTGGGGGTTTTGAGTGGCCTCTTGGGGCGCCTTAGGGGCCTCTCGGGGCGTCCTGGAACCATATTGGACCTCTCTTGTTATTCCCAACCCTCCTTGGTTGGGTATTCGTTTTGAATAGAGCAGTGTGGTCGCGTCTCCTCCCGCCTCCCTCCTGCCTCCTGCCTGCCTCCTCCTGTCTTGCCTGCGGGGGGCTGCGGTCTGTGAAACTGTCGCCAGTTTCGAGGCCTGCTGGGGGGTCCAGCATAGAGGGTAATCGCGGCAGATCCAAATTAGACCTCGCCATTCCTGGGGGGCTGCGATCTGTGAAACTGTCGCCACTTTCGAGGCCTGCTGGGGGGCTCAGCATAGAGGGTAATCGCGGCAGATTCAAATTAGACCTCGCCATCCCTGGGGGGGGGGGGCTGCGATCTGTGAAACTGTCGCCACTTTCGAGGCCTGCTGGGGGGTCCAGCATAGAGGGTAATCGCGGCAGATCCAAATTAGACCTCGCCCTCCCTGGGGGGCTGCGATCTGTGAAACTGTCGCCACTTTCGAGGCCTGCTGGGGGGTCCAGCATAGAGGGTAATCGCGGCAGATTCAAATTAGACCTCGCCATCCCTGGGGGGCTGCGATCTGCGAAACTGTCGCCATTTTCGAGGCCTGCTGGGGGGCCCAGCACAGTGAGGGCCACGCGCGGATTCAAATTAGACCTCGCCATCCCTGGGGGGCTGCGATCTGCGAAACTGTCGCCATTTTCGAGGCCTGCTGGGGGGCCCAGCACAGTGAGGGCCACGCGCGGATTCAAATTAGACCTCGCCATCCCTGGGGGGCTGCGATCTGCGAAACTGTCGCCATTTTCGAGGCCTGCTGGGGGGCCCAGCACAGTGAGGGCC